CTCCCTCCCACTCTATCTGTACAAAAAATGGAAAAATGCCCTCAGGTGAGGATAAAAAATATATATCTATTGTGAGGATCCTATACAACAGTGGGTTGAAATTTTCTTATCCAACTTTTATTCAATTTAAAGACAATGCTTAGATGTGCTAGCCAGTTTGGCTCAGCAGTTAGAGCACTGGCCCACAGACCAGAGAGTCCTGGGTTCTGTTCCCGCTAAGGACACGTACCTCAGTTGCAGTCTGCAGTTCCCACTAAGGGCACGTACCTCGGTTGCAATTTGTCCCCGTCCCAGTAGGGGTTGTGTGGGTGGCAGCCAGTTGATGTGACTCTCTCACACCAATATTTCTCTCTCTCTTCCTCCCTCTCTCCCTCCTGCTCTATCTGCAGGTAAATGTAAAAATGTCCTTGGCTGAGGATAAAAAAATAAAGACAATGCTTAGAATATGAATCAATCAATGGATACCTTGTAATAATGCCCTGTCATAACTTCACAGCTCATAGGTCAGGGACCATAGCTCTAGAACTCAACTTTTCAACTCTATCAGAGACCTCAGTTCCACAACATTTCCTCCTTTATTGGCATACTTGCTCTCCTCTTCAACACGAATTCAGGTCCTTCTGCTTTCATATATGCATCTAATGATTTTGTTAATGCAATGAACTTCTCTCTGCAGTATTAAACATCAATGACTTTCTTCTACTTTTGCAGACTCTGTCCAAAGCAATACTGCTTTGGAACTCTTTTACCTCTAACCACTAGCCTTTGGCCTCTTTTCCTGGCACTTCTGTTTCTTCTTTCAAACATGCTGGCAGTATTTCTCAATTTATTTCTGACTCCATTGACTGTTGGGTTAAATATGCCATCAATATCTTTCCCAATGCACTAGTTCTCTACCAGCTGGCACTATTCCTCAACATAAAAGTCCCGCCCCATAATCTAGAATGTTCCTGGCCTAACCAGTCTCTGAATTTCTATTCATTCCACTTGGGGTCTATAACATGGCAATGAACAAGGACTGTGTATTATCACCTACACCTGTTGCATGTGTATTGTTTCCTCAAATCAGACAACAATTCCTTAAAGGCAATTTCCTTATTTCAATCATCTCTCCAAAGGGCAGAGTGCCAAATATAAAACCATCACTTCAAATATGTTCTAATACTTTCTAGGGACCTAAAATGTAGTCAAAAATTCCCAAAGCACAAAAAGAGAACAGTATTTTGCAGTATGCTAAATTGGGATGAGGGGAAAGAAAGGTTCCATAATTAGAGGTTTAAGAAATACTGGTTACAGGTTAACAGGTTTATTTGTGGATCTTCCTAGAACCTTTAGTCTTGCTAAGTGCAAATCTCCAAAAGCAGAATTTCCCAAATCTGTGTGTTATAAAACTCTTTTCCACCTTTTATTGCTTATTACTAGCACCTATTAACTTCTCCCTTTCCAGGAAAAACAATTAAGGAAATACTTATTAAGCAATTAATTATTTTCTTTCACAATTACTTTATATCCAGTATAATTTTTAAGGATACGTTAATAGTACTGGTTTTATGAATCATCCTTGCAGCAAGCCTCAGCATCCCTCAATTACCCCTGAAGTCATTAGACAGTATAATCACAAAAAACTTTTTAAGGATTCATTTCAGGATAATTTTAAATTGCAGCTCCTTTACTGATTTTAAATATAACCTCATTTAAAAAATTATACTTATATACACCATCATTTATTTTTAAAAAAACAGCCCTGGCCGGTTCAGCACAGCGGTTAGAACATCGGCCTGCGGTCCAGAGAGACCCGGGATTGGTTCCCGCTAAGGGCACGTCCTTCGGTTGCAGTTTGTTCCTGGTCCTGGTTGGTCGTGTGGGTGGCAGCCACTCGATGTGTCCCTTTCACGTCGATGTTTCTCTCTCTCTCTCTTCCTCTCTCTCCCTCCCACTCTACCTGAACAAAAAATGGAAAAATGTCCTCCGGTGAGGATAAAAAAAAGAAAGAAAAAAAAACAGTAAAAACTGTTAAAAGATGTGGGTAGCTTTAGCAACTTGACAATCTCTCACTAAAGCCAAAGGTAAAAACAACTAAAAAAGAACAAAGCGTAGTCCAACAAACTAAGAATAAGAGAAAGATAAAATAAATTTGATAAATAGACATGCTATTCTTCTCTGGGAGATTCATAACACTTATTAGCACATTAAAGGCTCTAATGCCTGGTTGGTGTGGCTCACTGGTTGAGCATCGACCCATGCACCAAGAGGTCACCGGTTCGGTTCCCGGTGTGGCACATGACCATGTTGTGAGCCCGATCTGGGGCATGCAGGAGGCAACCAATCAATGTCCTCTCTCATTGATGTTTCTGTCTCTCTCTCTTCCTCTTCCTTTCTCTCTCTCTAAAAATAAAAAAATAAAATAAATAAAATTTAAAAAAAAGGTTCCAAGAAGCCCTCCAATTAAAAAAAAAAAAAAAAAAAAAAGAGGCAGTTCAACATAGTTTAACCTGTTGCTCCCCAAATTTACTTGACCACGGAATCTTTTTTTTTTTCTGATGAACACTTATTAACATCCCAATTCAACCTGCTAAACATTGCAACAGTTTTATCAGTAGAAAAATGCATATCAAAGGATCACTAGCCCTCATTCTTCTAGTTCAACATTTTGCAATGTTGAAGCAAAATGACCTTTTTAAAAAATCTGAATAGTCAACAGGTAATCAGAAGGTAAATCTCTAAATTTTCCCATCTAATCCCACTCCCTACCCAATTTCTCTGCCTCGTCATTTTATTTCAATGATTAAGATGTGGGAGGAAAATAAAGACAAACTTTTGTCTTAACAGTTAACCTTTATAATTTACATTAGAGTGATTAAATTCTAGACCATATTCCAGATCATACAAAACTGAGGTCTGGATAGAGTTAAAAGCAGAACTTCAAAAATGCCTCAAATACTAGTTCTTTATTGTTTATAACCTGTGTGTTTCCTCAGCAATAAAACTGTGGAATGGGGATGCTGGCTAAGTGAAAACTCTCAACATCTAGTCTCCACCCTAAAAGCCTCACTCTACTCTGCACCTTTTCTAAACCAGATCAGATTTTTTTTTTTCTTTTATAGTACATACTTTGACTTTCTTTATCCCGAAACAAGATGAATAAGCAACCAGAAAACCAGGTACTTTACAAGGTTCACACCTCTTCATTCAGGAACAGTTAATTACCAAATAAATCGCACTGGGGATCAACCAGTTTGCATATTCACTATTTCACAGCTCCAAACTAAAGGATGTGTTCTTGCCAAGCCACTCTACTAGCTAGACATAGCAAAAGTATATCTGATGCTAAAGTCAGCTCAACTCTAATAATTTCAGAAAGCTATTTATAGGTTTTCTGTTTTTTTTTTAACCTACTCTAAATTTAAACTGCTCCTCTTTTTCAAAAGCTGAAATTAGCATAAAGTTAAATACAGAAAAAAATATACACTAATGAGAACATGTCACCTCCTGTTCAGTTCTTGCAAAAGGCTACAAAGAATAAGTGTCCCAGATAGTTTCAATTCTATTACAATCATATCTCCCTTTAAAAAGTGGGTTTGTTTTTTGCTTTTTTCCTTTTAGGAGTAAAGTCAGTTGTAAATTTCAATAAGAAAGGTAAGGACACAGTTCTTTTTTAAAATTATGTTTTTATTGATTTTTATTTTTTTTTTGGAGAGAGAAGGAGGGAGGAAGAGAGAGAAACATCGATGTGAAAGAGAAACATGGACTGGCTGCCTCCTGCACGCCCCCTACTGGGGATGGAGCCCACAACCCTGGCATGTGCCGACTGGGAATCAAACCAGGACCTCTCAGTCCATGGGACCGACGAATCTCAATCCACTGAGCCACATTGGCTGGACAGGATACAAATCTTTATACTGACAATGGCCAAGTTAATACCAATTTTAGTGCATATCAGTCATTTCAGATATAATTCAGGCCATTCCTTTTAGCAAACACTTTTCGGTAATATTAAAACTAAGTCTCACCCTGGCGAGTTTTGCACAGTGGTCAGAGCACTGGCCCTTGGACCACAGAGTTGCGGGTTGAATTCTTGTCAAAGGCATACCCCCTGGTGGAGTACACCCCCAGCCCTGGTCAGGAGGCAACCACCTATGTTTCTCTTTCTCCCTCCCTCCTTCCCACTCTATCTGAAAATCAATGGAAAAATATCCTCAGGTAAGAATTTAAAAAAAAAAAAAAAACTAACTCTCAAAACATAGAATAAAAGGGCCTAACTTTATGTTCTACCTGATCAGGTAAAACGTTCGCTAAAGGTAGACTACTATTTTTCCTAGATGTTTTGAATGGATGCACAAGCAAGTGGTAAAGGATGTATGTTCGATCGCCTTGGTCACTTCCGAGCCTCTTCCACCAGAGGGTGGAGTCTAAACCCATTCACCAAGTTATTGATGAGCAATGGTTTCTGTTGAGACAGGGGATGGAAGATCATGTGTAATGCCATTGTCCTAGCTCTAGTTATAGTTCTGTGCTCTACTGGGCCTGACGGAAAGACAGTAACTACAAATAAATATTTTCAAAAGGTAAATCCTAGAAGAATGCAAGTTCAGCTCCGGAGACCTCCGGAGTGATGTTCCACAGGTTGCCTCATTCACCTGGTGGACTCTTGTGAAAACACCCCGGTCCGCACTTCAGTTCCCTCAGCCCTCTCTCCTTTTCCCATACAAACATTTCTCTTCCCTCTTGGTTCTGGTCCCTGCACCAAGCCGCCCCCTGCGCTCCCCCAGATCCTCTACGGCCGCCCGTCCCCCTCTCAGGTACCCTCCTAAGTCCACCACACCCCTCCAGCTCGCAGAGGCCGCCCCCCACCCCCACCCCCTTGCCCCTAGCACACGCACCCTCCCATCTGACTTCGCAACCTCCACATTCCTGCTCCGGCCGGCGCCTCAGGCCTCAGTAGCGCCCGCACCACACCCGAGCACCGCCCCGCAACACGCCCCCCGCCCATGGCCCCTTACCGCACATGATGCAGGAGGCTCGGTCGGCAAGGCGCGTGGTAAGCGGCTGACGAGATCGGGAGCACACGAGAGCCTGTGGGGCTACCGGCAGGCTTGGAGACAGGGGAGGTAACCGACACGACTCCGTCGAGGATGCGACAGCCGAGGTAACGACTGCTTTCTTGGCCTCCCCGACTCGCCAGCAACTGCCTCCCGGCCCCGCCTCTCGGCGCGCACCGCGCCGCCGCCGCTGCCACCGCTGCTGCCGCCCGCAAGTCCCATTGGGCTGCGTCTGCGCCGCTCACGCGCAGATCCCGCCTCCCGAGCCGCCCCGCCCACGAGCCCACGCAGGCGCTGGCCTGCTGGCAGCGAAGACGTGGCAACGACTCGCGGGCGCATCCGGCAGAGGTTCCTGGAGACGCCCGTCCCCGGGGCGAGTAGCGGGAGGGACAGCGCAGCGCAGGAGGAGGAAACTCGGTGGCTGGCAGGGAATGAGTAAAAGATAAGGAAAGAGGAGGATGGAATTGCTAGCGATAAAGATAACGTTGGGAGGCACGCCTTGTGTAGTCCAAGGCTCTAAGCTCCAGCACCCCGTGAAACAGGGAAAGAGGAGGAAGAAAGCAGGAGGCCTGACGGACAAATAAGTCAGGGTTGGAAAGGCACATAGACCTAAGAAAAAAATTGCAAAGAATTGAGCGGAGATACCAAAATTCCTGATTGCAGAGCGCCATGCAGGTTCCGCCAGTCTTTCTGGTGAGGGGCAATTCAGTTCCCGACTTAGGCTCTAGGTAATATTCTTGACCTCCAAAAGCCCTTCGCCTCCCATCCCCACACCCAACCTCCACCCATTGCCTTCCTAACCCCCAGTTTTTTGCAGAAGGGCAGGGGAAGACTTCTACTGGCCTGAGAGAACTGTAGGAATTGCCTAGATTTGGCAGCCTTACGTTTGACTCATGAACGATTAATTAATTATATGATTTAACGCACCATTCCTGCCAGGAAGCTTAATCAAAGAGAGAAGATATTTCTGAGAATTCATTTGCTTTAGGAAGATTTAAATAGTGCCTTTAGTCAAATGTACATAGTTATCACAACTCTATTAATGACTTTAGAATCAAATAAAAACTTATCTGTCATACAGAACATGGCATAGACTTCTGAGCCCAGATGTCTCATTTATCTCACATTACTGCTCTCTTCCTACCCCACCATCCAGCCCTTTACACTCCAACAATGCTGAATACATAATTTCTCAATTGGGCCAACATTCTTAAGTCTTTTGCACACATTGGTTACTCTTCATGGAACCCATATCCCATCTCTACTTAAATGCTACCTCTTAGGGAAAACCTTTTTTGTCTCCCCCAGACAGATATAAGGACCTTCATTAACTTCTCATTCTTTGAGCTGCCCCCTTTAAAGCAATATGCTTTCAGATTATATATATAATCACACACACACACACACACACACACACACACTTGTACTAGGCATATTTCCCTACTAGGTTGTTTCTTGAGGCTAGAACAAGTGTTTGCATACCCAACACCTAGTATAAACCCTAGCACAAAGGGATCAAAATGCTTTTCAGTGAGTGAATAAAGGTCAAATGTTCTTAGCAGAATTGATTTCTATGGCTGGTTATATGATCAAGTGAGCAAAGAGCTTTTCAGTCTTTCTTAGAGGGGAAAAAAAAAAAATGCCTTTTTATTACTGGCCTCAAAGAGAGGCCAGGAAATGTCTCATTGAACTAATCAAAATATTTCTAACATGAAAGCCCTTTAATATTTCAGGCCCTTAAACAGGTTCCTAAATCACCCAGAATAACGTTTTAAAAACAACAAGACACTGATCTGTTTGAGAATAGACAACATATTTATTAATTCAAGAGGCAAAGGCTCTATGGATATACATCTTAGCTTCAGAACCCTCATCTAAGAGGCTCTGGTAAGACCTCAGTGTTATTGTCAAGGAGTCAAGGTGTGATTACAATTTTTGTTGTTGTTTTTTTAATTGATTTTAGAGAGAGAGGAAGGGAGAGAGAAAAACATGACGTAAGAGAGAAATATCGATCAGCTGCCTCATGTACCAGCCTCAACTGAGCATCAGACCCAAAACCTGGGTATGTGTTCTGACCGAGAATCAAACCCGAGATCTTTCCGTGCAGGGGATGACACTCCAACCAACTGAGATACACCTGCCAAGGCATGATTACAGTGTTTGAACAACACCTTTATATACTGCCAGAAAACCTGTCAATGCCGCAAAGAAAATGCCACCAGTACCACCAAAGTTCTCATGCTCAAACTATAATTACTGAACCTCCTGCTGTCCTCTTCTGCTTGCTACTCCATCATAGCTATCAATTTGTCTTGTCCATCTCCATTCTACAGCTATTTTGGAAGGTGCTTATGTACCAGCTGAGAGGAAGAAACTTTGAAAGCCAATATTTTTCCAACAGTTTAGTACACAAAGACCCAGGGAAAGCCCCAAGAATGAAAATCTACCTCTGTAAGTGGAGGGCAGGGAAAGATCAAAGAAAGAGGCTGGCCACTCCAGTCTGGTAATTAATAGAATGTATAAAGGGAAACTTACGGGGCATGCCCTAGGTGGCTGCAAGACAAAATGGATCCCCATGCTGCTTGTCAGATGCCAAAGAATTATATAAGGTAAAAGTGAGGAATAGTCACAGGTACGAGTATGTGAATGCTAGAAATTATATGCTTGACCAGGTCAGAACAACAACCTGTTCCAGGAACCAGCACATAGCAGAAAGCAAGGCAGGGATGCTGATTTATGTCTGAATCAACATCAATCAAGATCAGACAGTCTCACCCTGGCTGGTTTGGCTCAGCAGTTAGAGCATTACCCAAGGACCGAAGGGTCGAAGGTTCAATTCCCAGTCAAGGGCATGTACCTGGGTTGAGGCAACCAGTCAATCCCCCCCCCGCCCCCGCTCCTTCCCTCCCTTCTTCTCTATCTAAAAATCAAAGGGAAAATATCCTCAAGTGAGGATTAACAAACCAACCTCTATTCTGGTCCAGGACCAGCTGTGGGACAGACAGTGGTCACATCGTGAAAGTTTCTCCACACTCCACCCCTTGTAACCGGCGTTTATAATCTCATGTACCCACCTTTTCCACAAGGTTCTCCGAGTGGTCAGTGAGGGGCTTCAGTAGCAGGGAGGTAGCTTGCTTAGTTGCCAATTGACTGCATTGGAGATACAGCAGCAACAGTACAGACACATAGAAAAAAAAAAAAAAGAGACAAAAGAAGCAGTCCAAGTATTAGTAACAATTTTTTTTCCATCATGCCTGCCCTCCAGAACCCAAACCAGTGGGTTAGTAGGTCACTTGGACTTGGGGCCAGATCAATTTAAATTGAGTTTTCTATGTGCTAACAAAAAAATATATATTAACAGATTCATCTGGTGTAAAATAACATGTAGTTTGGATAATGGCACAGGTGCCCAGCCTGTAACTGGATGTCATAGGAACAGTAGAATTATAAGATCACAAAGACAAATATGTCATAGGGTCTTGAACTGGGAGAGCTTCCTCTGTGAGAATTACATTTGTAGCCTGATCTTTAGGTGATAATGTGGCTACAGTCTTTGGAACTTGGCCAGGGCGATAGTGGTGCTCTCTAGCCTAAGGAGGTGAATAAGAGGAGGAATGTGCCAGACTAAGACCCCTATTTTCTCCCCTTCCAATGGTATATGTACTGGTCCACAAATAGTGTGTCTCCATAGGTCCTGACTGCATTAGGATGACAGGTTCCCACCAGAGACTGAGCAGTTTCTTGTCATTAGTATACACAGACCTAGGAAAAAGCCCCAACACTAAAAATCTACCTCTATGAGTCGAGGGTAGGGAAAGACAGAAGAAAGAGGCTAGCTACTCCAATCTGGTAATTAATAGAGTTTATTAAAGGAAACTTACATACAAGGAATATTTTGGGTGACTGAAAAATGAAACAGATCCTGGAGCCGTTTGGCTGGCACCAAAGAATTACATAGGGTAAAGGGTAGGGGGAATAGTCATGGGTACTAGTAAATGAATGCTATCAGGTACTTGATATTACTTTACATGCTTAACTAGGTATGCCAACAACCTGTTCCGGGTACCAGCACAAAGCAGGAGGCAAGGAAAGGGTGCTGATTTATGTCCAAATGAACACCAATTAAGATCAGACAGTCTGTAAGTGGTATTTACAGAAAGCAACCTCATTCTGATCCAGCTCTAGCTTGCAGAACAGGCAGCAGTCACGTCACGGAACAGTCTTTCTTCCACACCACCCCAACCTTGAACAACCTCACCAACCCACTGCAACAAAGAGTCCTTTGTAACCATGAGCCAGTCATGACACTGATATAGAAGAATTTTGTTTGTCTGAACCCCATCTACACAGAGCTTTGCCTGAGCTGGACCTTTGGGAATAAGGGCTGGAGGAGAAGAAAATAAATTATCTATGAAGGAATAGGGACATCTGGGTCTAATTCAAACATCTGAGGAAATGGAAAGGATTTTTTCTCCTGATCAAAAGTTCTGAACTGAAAAAAAAAAAAAAAGTGATGATTGTAAGATGTGTCATTTATCTTCTCTTTATACTACTCCATTTCCCAGTGAAATCATTAGTCCTGTGAAATCTAATGGTTCTCAGCCTCCTCATGCATCAGCGCTTCCAGTTGTCACTTCTAAAGAAATAAAAAACCATAATTGGAATAGCTTTATAAGATTTTTAAATGTCCCCATGTTTGTGATTTTTGTTATCCCTTACTGGAATCCCGATATAAATAGCAATAAAATTATTTTAAAAGGCCTGGGCACAATTTTTAATTATAAATTAAGTCCTGGAGATATACTGTATAGAATGGTGACTATAGTTGTTTTGTGTGTGTGTGTGTGTGTGTGTGTGTGTGTGTAAAATCTTTTTAATATGTTCTTATTGAGAGAGGGAGAGGGAGAAAGAAATATCAATTGGTTAGCTCTCGTACACACCTTGCCAGGGGACCAAACACACAACCTGGGCACATGCCCTGACCAGGAAGTAAACCAATGACCTTTTGGTGCATAGGACAATCCTCAACCAACTGAGACATACCAACCAGGGTAGTTGTGTTGTATATTTGAAAGTTGCTAACAGTATAGATTTTGAAAGTTCTTATCACAAGAAAAAAATTATATTTGTGGTTATAGATGTTAA